GAATTAAAAAAAAAAGAAGGAATGCAAGAATAAGAAAATGCTACCGATCTTGCTTGTCCAAATTGGACAAGGCAGTTTTTACTTGTTAAACTGGTAAGAGTGACAAAAAACAGGGTAATTCTAGAATTAGCCTGTGTTCAGGGAAATGGATAGGTTTATAGTTTGTAGGATTAGTGTATGGATCTGTATAGCCTTTATGAACATCTCTAACTGTATTTTTAGAATGAAGTTATTCACAACATAAAAAACTAAAAACTGTCTTTTACTCAGAAATTTACTTCTAAGAATTTATCCTCAAGTTGTAACAGAACAAATGCAGATGCCAAAATGAAGGATTGGTTAAAATAGTTATGGTGTGTGTCAATATAGAAGAATTCTAGTCAGACATTCCTAATTGACATAAAATTGAAGCAGTAATAGAGTTATTTAATGACATGAAAGAAATGTTCAAATAAATGCAAAAATTTGAACATAAATAGATACCAGATCTATCCTACTCTGGGAATTAGCCTTTTGGACTTCCATCTCCAGTTACCCAAGCATAAATGTCAACAGTCTTTTGTGATCTTCTTTATGATAACATCAGATTTACCTAATGTACTATTTTAACAGAAATTTGGATATAATTTAAAAGACAGTTGCATATTTAACATGAGGCAGATCTGAATAATGCCACACTTACTGGGTTTTTTTCACAGAATCTTTTCAGTATATTTGATATTGTAAATCTTTTGAAGTATATATGATATTCTAGATCAGTGCTGTCTAGAATTTTATGCAGTGATGGAAATCGTGTAATTTGAGCTGTTCATTACAGAACTACTTCCTACATTTGGCTATTGAATACTTGAAGTGTGGCTAGTGCAACTAAGGAACTGACTTCTACTTCTTATTTAATTTAATTTAAATTGTCACTTGTTGCTAGTGGCTAGCATATTAGACAACAAAGATTATCTTAACATGTAAATTTTACCAGTGAAGTAATATTAGGGAATGTTAAAGACAGCAACATTATTATTTCCAGGTCAAAATTTTTTTTTGTTTGTTTCTTGAGCTAAGTTAGCTCTACAACTATGAGTTTTCTATGCTTGGATAACTGATTCTTGAAATGGATTTTCCTGGAAGCCAAAAATGAGATTGAGATTAAACCCATTAATGCATTTTTCTGTAAGGCACAGATAAATGCATAAATGATAAGTTGAACATTCTAGGCAGCAAAAGTCTGGCACTACTACTCTAGCCGTGAACCTTTTATTACTTTTTGCTTGTTATTGTTTTGCTTATTATTTTTGCCCTTGACTCACACTCAGTTGTTATGATAAACATTGCCAGGACATAGATCAGTTACATGAGTAGTATAAAAACTCCTCAGGGAAGAGAAGTTTTGCCCAGAACAAGGGAGGCAGGTAATATTCATTAACTTTTTTAGGAAGTGCCAGTCATTGTGCTAAGTGGTTTCTCATGTAGATGCCTCTCATCATGTCATCACAGGCCTTACCTTATCCTCTTACTTTATTCTCATTTCTGCCTATGTATTTCTTCTGTCTTTGCCAGATTGCCTGTTGGTCTCTCAGATTTTCTTCAACTCTTCTTTCTTTTTGGTATTTCTGATATACCAAATTTTGTGTCTGTTACTTACTTTTGTAATGCTATGGTATTTTGATAGTGCCTCCTTCTGTCAGTGGCTAATATCTTTTATGGTAAATTCTTAGGAAGCTCATGTTGAGCTCTTTTGTTGGTATTTAAGAGTTCTTCGTTTGCTACCAGAGACTCATAAAGCAACAAATCCAAACATTTTAGGGTGAGTTTATATTGCATTAGGGCAAAGTATTATTTGTTTCTGAAATTTAAATGTTTTCTTTTGGTTCTAATCAGTCTCTTGCTAACTCTAAGTAAAAATTTGAATTTTATCCTGTATCAACTGTTTGCCTCCTAAAAATTAGAAACTTTTTGTAAATAGAATAGATATAGGCAAGAATTTTAGCTCTCCGCCAGGAAATACATTACTAACAGCTTTGTTTTACAGTGTCAGAAATTTGGAGAATATCACAAAGATGATCCAAGTTCCTTCAGATTTTCAGAAACTTTTTCCCTTTACCCACAGGTAAGTAGATAAAAGGTCCATCTTCCTTTCTTGTGTTATTAACAACACTGAGTCTCACCTTTTCTTTTATTTGTCTTTTATTACATTGCACCAATTTTACTGGCTTATTCTTTTAGGTAAATTTTAGGATAACCTAGAAATGAATATTGTGCTGTTATATTGGCCTTACAAATAGTCATTTATTTGTGGTGACTAGAGATTTACACTGAAACCCTTCTGTGAGTACAATTAGGCATA